TCTGTCCTATCATCAAACCCCAGGTAGATTCCCTTTGCCCCAGCCTCCTGCTCACCACCAGCATGCAGGTGGGATGACCAAGGCCGGGGTAAAAAATGGCAGTCAGTGACTTTCTTAATGGAAGTCTAACAGAGGCTGCATGTCATTTCTCAAAATAGGAAAACAGAGATGTGGTACCTCCTCTGTCACCATAGGCTAGTCCTGTCATTCATGAGCCATGGGGTGGAGTGTTATGTCCTCTCTCCCAGAAAGATAGATATGGAGCCCAGGGCTCCAGGGAAGGTATTCTGGTAGAATTGTACAGAGAACAGAAGCCTGGAAAAAGGCTATTCCTCGGCATGAAAAAGGGCTGCGGAGTGTTTGCTGAACCTAAGCAGAACCATTTCCTGTTCTTGTGAATGCCCAGGCCAAGAACTGTGTGTTACTATCCTGTTGGCAACTCTCTGGGGAGGGACAGTGACCCAAAACCCTGGAAAGGTGGCTGACACTTTCCCCTTGTGCTATGTGTGAGATCAACTGGAGTATTTCAGCAGACTGGGCCTCTGAACCACGTTTCTCATGCTGCCATTGTACTGTGGCCTGTGTCTTCGCCAACTGTGGTGGCAGTGGCAGCAACAACTTACTCATAGGGAAAGGTCCCTGGTAGGTCACCGAAAAGCCACCCCTATCATTTGAAGGCATGCCCTTTCAGTTTTACTGTCACTCTTAGTGTAGCCGAAGCAGCCTTTTTGCTGACTGTTGGTGGCCAGGCCCAGCACTGTGGGCCCCATCTCAGTTGGCACGCACATATACTTCCTCTGCTGTTTCTGGGTCTGTGTCATTGCAGTTGCTATGTTTCAGAAGACCATAAGAGGGAGTGAGGGGACTGGGACTTGCCCACCTGCTTTTCTGGATTCCCACTGGCTAGCTCCCTACACAGAATCTGCCAGAGCAGATAGATCCAGTCGACCAGTGTGCTTCCTGGCCATGGTCCCCAGAGGAAATAGCACAATAATATATTCCGTAGGTAGTGATAGTTATACCCTGAACTTATGCCAGCCATGTAAGACAGACTATCAGTCTAGAGGACACTGGGCTTTGCAGATGTTCACAGAGCTTCCCAGAGATGTGAAAGCCTATAGCACAGACAGTCCCTAGCTTGTGGGCTTCTAAGGGTGAGGGTGCCTTGTACACAGACCAGAAGGTGATGGAGGTGATTGTTGAGTAGTATGGGGAGGAGCGCTTCAGTTTTGGGTTGTTTTGTTTTGTTTTTTAATGGCATTTCAGTTTGCACTAGGGTACAACAAAATGTCCTTTATTTAAATAAAGTCAATTTAAAGGAAAAATGAAGTCAGTGATAGTATTGCTTGAATAGGATTGTGGCAAAGGAGTATAAGTTGAACAAAAATGCTGGGGGTAGCACACCTTTAATCCCAGCAGGAGACAGAGGCAGGCAGATCTCTGTGAGTTCAAGGCCAGCCTAGCCTATGTATCAAGTTCTGGGACCACCAGAACTAAATAAGAGAGATCCTATCTCAAAAAATAAAAAAAGGTAGAGTAAAAAAACCCACATTTAAGAAATACTGTGCAAAGCTAGGAAAGATGGTAGCAGTTATAATCTCTCTGATTGTTGCTCTTTGCATGAGTTTGGTCATAACTTCATCTTTTTTTTTTCTTTTTCTTCTTTTTTTTTTCCTTTTTGGTTTTTCCAGATAGGGTTTCTCTATGAAACAGTCCTGGCTGTCCTGGAACTGAAGACCACGCTGGCCTCGAACTCACAGAGATCCGCCTGCCTCTGCCTCTGCCTCTGCCTCTGCCTCC